ACTAAGAACTTGCTTACTGCTAGTTATAGTCACTTCTCATCACTGTAGCCCTGTCATTGTGGCACAGTGACCATCATTTGTAACAGGGTGGTCCCTAGGCAAAATGATGTAAAAATAAACTGTTATATTATTATTTAAAAAAAAAAAAAAAAAAAAAGGTCGCTTACAATGTAAAAGATGTCCCCACTCACCCACCCAATTCTAACCCTACTTGAGTTTTGGGGTCATTTATAATAAAGTCACATAATTATTTCCTTTTCATTTAATAAATAAAAATATTCTGCTGTCAACAAAGTAAACCACCTTTGGAATTACCATTTTAAGGATTAGTTGAAATACCTAGAAGGTGCTGCACATCCAACATACAACCTCACTGTACTCATCAGAAGAATTCTGAAAGATGGTTATTTTAAAATCCACTTTACTTACCAAAAACTTTTTCAAGTCTTTATAGTTGGTGATAATTCCATTGTGAATGACAATAAATTCTAAAACAGATAAAAAGTATTGATGATGAAAAATACAGGTCTGGTAAACACTGTAAATAGTACATTACTATTAATATACTTTTCTCAAGTCAAAAAGTTTATCACGGCCCTCCCTGGTGGCGCAGCGGGTTAAAGCACTGCACTGAGAAACTAAAGCCACTTCCGCATGAGTTCGATCCCTGCCTGCCCCGGAGGTGACCACATGGCGTGGCAGACCTCTCCTGACCCGCCCACTGCTCCCCTCAGCAGTGTACTTCATCGATCTGCCTGTTCTGCTTCCCGCTCTGTCTCTGGTGAATCCTCTCACCCTCCGCATCTCTGGCCTGTACCCCAGTTCTGTATGAATAAATGAATAAATATTTAAAAAAAAAAAAAAGTTTATCACATGCTATACTTTCAGGGAGAGTCAAATAGCAACCACTTTTCATTATGTACCATACTCAGATAGATCAGAAATACTGTTTATATGGTTGAGTGGCAGTACACAATACCAGAGAGGTGGGTACACTAGAAAAACACAATAAACTATGGTCTAGAGACATAAATTTCAATTGTGGCTGAACTACTAAATCAAGACTACCATATGAACAGAGCAAATTTTCTAGATCTAATTCCTCACTTGCAAAGTAAGAGGGCTGAACTATAAAATTTATCTCATTTTTGTATTCATTCATTCTGATATATAAAGCATTCCTAAGTTTAAAGAGAAAGTCTTTCAAATAATAGTCTTTCAAATAATAACTATCTGATTATACTGAGTGAGTTTATACTGAATGAGTTTAGTATATAAAGTTAGTAAGAAAAACCAAACCAATTCAGATCTATACTTAAAATCAGACAATACTTAGAATTTCAGATAAATGAATGTCAAATGGCATTTCATTATGTATTCCAAAATACATATGATAATGTGACAATTTTCTTTTTTTTTAATTAAATAACTTTTTAAGAATGGCTAACCAATAGTTCACAATGTTATTATTTGTGATCACTAAATGTATACAGACTGCCAGCGTGCTTTGAATGTTTAAAGTTGATGTAAGTCAAGAGAGAAATTACTACTAAATTCAGCTTTATATTACATTAATTTCAAAATATTTTAAATATAAAGATTTGACATTTTGTTCTGATACTAAATGAGCCGGAACTGAATTTGTTACAAATACTAGTTTTTTGAGAGAAAAGATACCATAAAATGATACCATAAAAATAAACCTAGAAAAAAAATTTTAATGCTAGCACACAAAGAATCATAAACAGTTGATGGTTGACATAAATCTTTAAAGTCAAGTTGTCAAAAAATAACCCAGATAGAAGTTTTCAGGAATCACTTATAAAGACCTTATTTAGTATGTGAAGAACAAGAAACCTAAAAAGGCAGTTGCTAAATTAAATTGTGAAATGTTTTTTCAAAAGGTATACATATATATAGAAACAGCTATACACATGTATTTGTTTATTTTTGAAAATGAAAACAGAAACAAAAAACGTAATTGATCATGTACTGATAAACATTAAAGCGGGTGGGTACATAGGACTCCTATTATAGAATAGTCTCTACTTGTGAAAACATTACAAAATTTCCAAATTAAAACATGAAAACATAAGAGCATTCATTCTCCTCCTGCTGGCGACCCATCTACAATCATTCCATTTGTTCATACCATTATTTTTATCAGAGCGCTGGGGATGGCTATTTACAGGATTGGGTTCTCCATGTGTTGCCCAACGAGTATGAGCTATTCCAAGGTGTACATCAAATTCTATGTCCAAATCCATATCCTGTTGTTCTAAAGAAGATAAAATCAAAATTTCCAATGTTAAATCATGCTGTGAAGGTTATGCTATATATCAAAATCATTATTAGAGTGCTGCTCAACTTGAACACACATTAAAACTGAAGATCAGGCATATTAAAATTGGTAATAGAAAGATTTAAGAGTCAATGTAGGGCCCTCCCTGGTGGCGCAGCAGGTTAAAGCACAGCACTGAGAAGCTAAAGCCACTTCCGCAAGAGTTTGATTCCCGCCTGCCCCGAGGTGATCCACAAGGCGAGGCAGGCCTCTCCTGACCCCCCTGCTGCTCCTTTCAGCTGTGTACTTAGTCAATCTGCCTGTTTTGCTCCCCACTCTGTGTCTGGTGAATCCTGTCACCATCCCTGCACCTCTGGCCTGTACCCCAGCTATGTATGCATAAGTAAATAAATCAAAAAAAAAAAAAAAAGAGTCAATGCAGCTGAAATATTTTAGGGTAAATGGTTCCAAAACAAGAACAAACAAACAAACAAGATTATACAGAAAGATAAAGCAAAGGTGACAAAATATTAAATACCCAGTTACTCTAAAGCACAAATCTTATCAGGAAACAATGCCAAAACACTTAAATAGGCTTTTACTGCCCTAAAAATTGGGGTGCATCCCTAGATAGATATCCACATGGATTATCCTAAACCCAGTCACAGGGCTTTATAAAAAGATCCTCAAATCTACTATACAATCAGAGAATCATCTTCACAACAGTCTCAATACAAGACTCTCTACCTTTCCATCCTCATCTCCCATCCTCTCACTGCCTTCAACACACCTTTTACAAATAATACTAGCCAACAGTTACTAAGAACTTGCTTACTGCTAGTTATAGTCACTTCTCATCACTGTAGCCCTGTCATTGTGGCACAGTGACCATCATCTTGTAACAGGGTGGTCCCCAGGAAAAGGGGAAGTTTCAGGTTCCCTGTCCCACCCAGAGGTAGGGTGGAGCTGAGCAGATAAAAAGAAAGAGAAGGAATATGAGGAAGAAGGAAGCAGGATGGAGAGCCAGAAGGAGACCTGAGGAAGCCACATGGAACAGAAGAAACTGTGCTTGTTTCTTGGCCCTGGACTGGTTGAAAGAGATGTGGGTGAGAGACCCGTGGGGAGGCTGACTATGGCAGTGTTTATATTAATTTTGATTGTGCTCTTTTTCTCTCAGACTTGTTTGGCTATTTCTGACCATTTTTTATGGGTCCCGGCCAGAAGAAGCTTTTTTTGTGGTGGGCTTTCAGGCCTTGCTTTGGACCACTCCCTTTTGGGTAGACTTTTACCCATGAGGGGATGGGTAACTTCAGGTGTTTGATTTAGAAAATATATTCTTTGTCTCCAGTGTTGTATACTCACTGTACTAAAGTTCCTTTTCATTGAAGTCTTACATGTTTTGTCTTGATGTGGCAGAAGGCAGAACCTATCTAGAGCAGACAGGTTTGGGGATCCAGGGGTACCCCTCTCTTCCTGCCCTGTAACAATATCTCCCTGAACTATTTAAATAGACCCCTGTACTCTTTGTATACCAACCAAAGTGATCCTTTCAAACCAACCAAAATGATCCTTTCAAAAATTAGGGCATGTCACTCTTCAATACAAAATTTTCCGATGGCTCCCCATAAATTTTATACATAGTAAAATCTCTTGTCCTTAAAGTCCTACATGATCTTGCCACCTCTCTAGCATAATCTTCTTCACTCTCCCCATCACTTATGATGCTTTTGCCCACTTTCAGCTACACATAGACCTAGCCTTTTCATAGGTGTTTCCACTCCCATTCTTCTAAAATGTCACTGCTACCACACTTTTTCTTCATACTACTAATCACTAGCTAACATTATATATTTGTTTGTTGAATGGTCGTCTCAATAGCCAGTAAGCTCCATCAGGGCAGGGGTTTTGTCTATCTTGTTCCTTGTTGTGTGCTTAGAACAATAATTAGAATTTAACAGTTTCTCAATAAATATTCATTTTGTCATGAATCCTCCTTATATTCTGTAAGGTACTACTGTCTTCACTTTACAGAAAAAGAAACTGAACCTCAAAGAGGTCATAAAACCTGCCCTAGGTCACAGTGAATAGGACACAAAAATAGGATTCTTTCTTAACTGTGTACTGAATAATTAAGGCAAGTAGATAAATGACCTCAAGAAAAGTAAAGACTATTTATCACCAGTTATTACTAGGTTAATGCAAACAATGAAAACATCTAATTTTTTTAGGTTAAATAGTTAAAGTAAGTATCTTACCCCCATGTTACAAGCAACATTGGAGAAATTAACAATTCTGAAAATGGAATCCATTTTAAATTCATGATAATTGCCATATCTATTTCACTGTTGCCAAAGAAACATTATTTAATGTTTAGTAAGAAAAATTCATGGCCATAATAAGCACATTCCTTACAACAAATATTTCATGTTTTACAAATTAGTTATGACTTCTAACCCTTGACTGATCAGTCAATATTATTCCTATTCTAGTTTTCTGTTGAACCTTAAATCTGAAACCCCCCCCCCCAGTCAGTTTTTTCTTATGTCCTTCCACAAGCTGCCAAACAACACTGAAGAAAAGTCACAAACTTTCATAAAATTAATCCACTTCAAGTTTATGGTTAGCTACCATACCTAGTTCACAATTGCCCTTTAGGGAACATTGTTTATTCATTAAGCTGAGAGTTCAACCAAATCTACAATAGCTCATGAGATCTTTTCTACTCTTTAAGCCATAATCCTGTCATTCCTCAATTACTACTTAACTCAGTATGCTCCCCTTCACCTAGTAGTTTAGTTTGCTTTTCTTTACCTTGACTCCTTTAAAGTAAACTCTCCCCTATCTGTACCTTGACCATTTAAGTTGTAATCAGGCAATAATTTCCTTATTTGCATCTTCTATCTTCCTCTTACCTTCCTCCTAAGATTTCTTTTTCCAGATGTCACCTGTTTTTTAAATAGCTCAAACATATTAAAACATTCACATACTTATACCCAAAGATAACAAATGTTAACATGTATAACAAAAGTAAATAGTTAAAGTCATTTGAGCTTTACATCTTTTTGAGATACAAAATGATTTTAAAGCTTATTTTTTTTGTCACTCACTAGAAAAAGTCTTTTGCCCCCACATTTTAGCCCTTTACAGCCAATCTATCTAATAACAGTATCTACTCTTCTGTTTTTCCATTTCCTTATACTAAATGAGGAAAGTATTACCTACTGCATGGGCTATTATGAGGAATAAGTGAGATAATATATGTAAAGTTCCAAAATTGCTTGGAACACAGAAAAGCAATAGCTTATTAATTCACCAATCTATATTCGGTTCCCAAAAATCATCAATATACCTACATTCAAAACCAGGTCCAGTATACTGTTTCAAGCACTATAAATGGTGATTTATTATTACTACAACTTATTTTCCCATTTCCTTACTAACAAGAATTTAGGTTATTTCTAAATTTTACTTAAATGAATCTTGTTGCAGTGTCTCCTTGTTCACAGTTTTGTTTTTTTTTTTTTGGTTGTTGTTTTTTAATATGCACGAAGAGTGGAAGTACTTAATCATAGGACAAAGACATCTCCTATTCACACACTGCCAGTTTGCTCTTCAAACTGATTTTCCAGTTATAAATTCACTAGCAATGCTCCACTACTTCCTGACTCTCCTATAGGAGGTGATATGTTTCAATATATTGACATTCACACATGATGATTCTGCTTACAATCTGCCTTTCTAGATTTCTATATTTACCAATCAATAACACAGACAAAAAGGCCACCTACTACTTCAACATTTGCCTAGTTTTGTTTTTATCCAAGCTACTCTTCTTGGAAGGTCCCTTTCTCAACTTCACTGCCCAAATGTTAACAAGCAGCCATTCCCTATATATCAGCCTCAAACTTACGGTAACTCACTCTCCCCTGAATCTAACAGTGTTATTTTTCCCACTCCTTTATAACCTACTATATTCAGCCTAAGGTAAAAGAACCTAAATTTTTTGACAAAAGGTTTAAAATCTATTATGGATAAGTAGACAAAATATTTATATAATAGTTTCTGAAGTAAAGTTATTTATTTGAGTAGTCTATTTTACCCTTTGCTAATCTCACCCACAAGGCACACAAAGTCAGTATTGTTTTAACTTGTACTACACAAGTAATACAAAAGCTATATGTTGGGTTTATATGGGGGGAAAAAATTACTAAATCTATTATCTACTTCTGTCTTCACTCCTTTTGCAATTATTATGATTGCTTGATTTGAGTAGGTACATAAAAAACCTGTTTCCTGTTTTTTGTGGAAGATTTTAAAACTATTTTTTCAATCTATCTCAAAGTTTTTATTTTGTTTTCAAGTATCCTATGAAACAATAAAATGCAGAAGTATAATAAATACTCAGAAGTACTTAATATATATAGAACATATATCACCAGGCAACTACTTTATGCTGGTGAAAAAAATGATGAGGGAGAAACATGATACTTACCTGATTAAATTAGAACTGCCATAAGGTACAACATCCAGATTAACTACATATCCAAGCTAGCCAATAGTCCAAACTGAAAAAACTATCAAATGAAGAAACATGAACAAGAAATCTACTGAAAATGTTTTTTGTCTTATAAAAGGTCCTTCTTCTCAAAAATTGTGGCTATTTCACTTAAAACGCTGAGCTTGAGCCCTACATCAGAAAATGTACCTGACTACTTTTCTTCCCTACTTCATATAATCACTTTAGGTTATTTTTTATTCTATGACTTTAGTATTTTTTTCATTATCTATTTTTATCTATTTAACATTGGCTTACATCACAGTGTATGATTCAGAGAAACAGGTTCATACCTTCTCAGATTTAAATATGATCATTGTTAAGCTTCGGTACACTTTAAAAATACTACAGAGAGTAACAAAACTACTTTTCTTCTCTCCCTTCAAGTTTAAGAAACTTATTCTCAAAGCAGAACTCAAAAGGAATGAAAGGCAATTTTGCAGGGAAGGAAGGAAAATGACGGAGAACAAAAATAAAATTACTGTGGACTTCTTCATCCAGAGCCTTAACTTTCCCTTTCTTCTTAATGAGCTGGATTTTGCAGGCATTGGCTTCCCAATCTTTGTCATTACCGCCGTCAAATCCCACACCTAAATAAATCATCAAGGAGTAGAAAAGCAAGATTTAGAAAGTATTACTTTAATTAACATTGTTAGACACAAATTTTAATGAAAAATACATATTCATCTAAATGATTAATTCATCAACTCAACATTTACTGAAAACCTATTATGTGTCAAGAATCATGATAGCTGCCAGTTAATAAAAATAACAGTTCCTAGACCCAAATTTCTAATAGTCTACTGAGAAAATAGACAAGAAAAAGTAATTACAGTTCAATGTGGTTTTAGATTACAATTAAAAGAGCCAGGTTACAAGTAGAACACAATGGAGAAATACAGATGATGGTCGCCCATATCTAAGAAAGGTGACGTATCAAGGTACACATCTCTATAGATTCTACTTAAACTCCTATAGTATTTGAAAAGTTATCTTGAAAGTATTGGAAAAGCACTGAGCAATTTCAAGTAAAGAAATAACATGGCAGGGTCTTCCCTGGTGGTACAGGGGTTAATGTCTCAGAACCATCAAGTTATGGTCAGCTACTGTGGCATGAATTCATTCCCTAACCAGGAAGCTAACCCACACAACACAGCAGATCTCTCCTATTCTCACCTGCTGCTCCCCATAGCAGTGTATTTCAATAGATCTGCCTGTTCTGCTCTCCACTCTGTCTCTGGTGAATCATCTCAACCCTTGTACCTCTGACCTATACCCCAGTTCTTGTATGCATAAAAAATAAAAATAAACCTTTAAAATAATACATAAGTAAATAACATTGTGAAATACTGAGAAAACTCTCTGGAAACAGTGTAGAAAACAGACTGAAAGGGGAGAAACAGAAAAATAAATAAACTATTAGAAGCTATAGCTAATAAAGCAAAAAAGAGAAAACCCTAAACTAGACAGTGGTAAGCAATAAAGACAGAGATAAATGATAATGAGAATAAAGATGACTGGATATATGATAAGCAAGCAAAGGTCTGGAGTATTTCCTAGGCTCAAAGGAATTGTTGAATGATAGTTGATTAAAGAAAGTCAGAAAGACTAAAAAATATGGTGAGAACCAGAGTAGATTCATTCAATTTTGAGAATTAAAAGTTTATAATACTCTGGTTTATACAGGGACATATATCTAGAAGGTAGCTAGAAATACAGGTTAGTGTTTTGGGAAATACATCTGGATTTTAAATCACCAACATATGGGAGGCTGATGAAGACACAAAGAAAGAAAAGTGGACATAGGGAAGAATCTTGAAGAATATTAATACTTAAGCAATTGTACGAAGAAAATGAGCATGCCCTCCATCCCATGTGTTGTCAGAAAAGCAAAGGAAAGAGAGAATTTTAAGCACAAAGGGGTTGAGGAATTAACTATAATTAGGGAAGTCACTGAAGATCAATATCTACTATATTTAGCAATATTAAGTATACAGAAAAGAGTTAGGATAGCAAGTCTAACACTACTATCTTTAGAAAGGCCTACCTGCAATGTTGGCCACTGGCTGGAGTCTGGGAGCTTGGAATTTCAGGAAGGTTATCACCCCCTAACTGATTAAAAATGGCTCATTGCAGCTACACTGTTTGTTTAAACAATGCTGAACATGTTTCCCTTCTAGGTGTCTGAAATTCTGGAAAATACCAGGCAGATGATGTCTATGTGATCAGCTCCCAATAAACACCTTGGGCACTGAGTGACTAGTCAAATTGCCTGGTATATGACATTTCACACCTGTTGTCAGAACTCACTTGGGGAACTAAGTGCATCCTGTGTGACTCCACTGGAAGAAGACTCTTAAAAGCAGATGCCTGGTTTCCTCCAGATTTCACCCCAGGAACCTTGTCCTTTTGCTGATTTTTATTCTGTTGATGTCATAAATAATATCTCTTAATACATATATGGTGAGTTCTCCTAGGGAACTACCAAATCTGGGGCTGGTTTTAGGGACTCCCCAATACAATTAAGAGGAGCTAATGTAGAACACAAAGTTAACAAAGTTACTTTTATTTGCTTTGTCATTTATTTAAGACAGAAGTTCATCTGCCAATGGCATGGAAACCATGAACAAAAGGAAAACTACAGGGGAAAAAGTTAATTTAAAAATATAAAATTTTAAAACTTTTGTAGATACTTGTTTTTATAGTTAATATTCTTTGCAAAAGAAGCAATACTGAGTGAGTAGTAATACTGCCAAAATTATATGAACAAACCCTTCTGACATAAATAACAAAACAGACCATCTGACAACAAAACATCAGCTGGATCAAGAAGATGGTGTATTTGTACAGTGGAATGTTACTCAGCAATCAAAAAGGATAAACTCATGCCCTCAGAGCAACATGATTGAAGCTTGAAGGGATTATGCTCAGTGAAAAAAGCCAGAAACAAAAAGCAAAATATTGGGTAGTCTCACTTATAGGAGGAATGTAGAGAAAACAAAAAAGGAATCAGAAAACAAAAAAGTATAATAAAGTAAAAATCAAAATCAATAGACAACTATATATAGATCAGAGACATTCTATAGGGGAGGAGGAAGGAGAAGACCAGGATCGGGTGGAAAGAGCACAAGAGACTACAGTGATGGTGCACAGGTGAACTGGTGGTGGGAATTGCAGGGGGAAACTATACATTGTACAAAAAATAAAAGATGATATAATGAATATATTTTTTTTAAAAACTAGTCATCAAGGGCCCTCCCTGGTGGCGCAGCGGGTTAAAGCACAGCACTGAGAATCTAAAGCCGCTTCCACATGAGTTCGATTCCCGCCTGCCCCGGAGG